GCCACTGTGCCCAGCCTTAATTTTGACTTTTAATCTTATAATAAATATATGGAAGTGAAATCTGCTAACAAAACTTGTTTTAACATCAAAAACCTTAAAAATTCTAACTAGAAAAAAGTGTAATTCATCTTAAACATTTCAAATATTTAATAAACCAATAAAATATTATTTAACAGTAATTCTTTTGTGGACAGAATAGAATTTTTCCAACTAAAGCACTATTTTAAAGAGAAGTCTGCTTTTAAAATATATCAAGAACTGACTGGCTGGGTGCGGTGGCTCATGCCTATAATACCAGCACTTTGGGAGGCCGAGCAGGGCAGATCATCTGAGGCTGGGAGTTTGAGACTAGCCTGACCAACACGGAGAAACCCCATCTCTACTAAAAATACAAAACTAGCCAGGCGTGATGGCACATGCCTGTAATTCCACCTACTCTGTAATTCCACCTAGACTGAAGCAGAAGTGCTTGAACCCAGGAGGTGAAGGTTGCGGTGAGCCGAGATTGTGCCATTGTACTCCAGTCTGGGCAACAAGAGGGAAACTGTCTAAAAAAAAAAAAAATTATATATACACACACCTACATATATATATCAAGAACTGAAATTATGAAATGATTTTAAGTACTTATTTTACTAGAAAACATTACAGGGTGAAGTTATAGATGCAACTCATGAGGATTTAACTTCCTTCTATATTCAAAAGTGTATACTTTCTGCTTATTTATCTGATTGCATTCAATGGTATAAATTTCTATTAATTTTTTGCATGCTACAAATTTCATCCTCAAAATTACTTCATTGGATTCTGGAAACTTAACCCATGCGTCCCAGATTATTTTGGGTCTGGTCATTCTCTCTAAAGCAGCCCTCTTATAACTTATTTAATATACAATGTACAATACAATATACACGGTTTAAAAGATTCTGATTTATAAATGAAAGCAAATGAAAGAAATAATAAAAGATTCTGATTTATAAAAGGCAAAAGAACACCTGAAATGAAAAGTGAGTTTGGGGGACTGGATTACTTTGCAGACCCAGAGCATGGGAGAGGTATGAATAATCTTTGTATGGAGGGTTGGATACAGTAGTTAACAAATAATATAGGTTAACATCAGAATATTGCTGTTGGATAGTTGTCCATAACTACTCCTTCTTTAAGGAGAGGCAACGAAGAAATTTTTCTGGCTTTTCCTGTAAAGTCTACCTAGTAGTTGGTAACCAGGGAATCTGCTGATCTGAGATGATGTAATCTGTTTAAAGCTTGTGTCAGTCACTCAAAATTCACTACTGAGTGAATGCCCTTGTGGCAGCCAGCTTCCAACAGGGCCCGCAGTGATCCTCATCTCCTAGTATAAATGTCCTTGTGTAGTCTCTTCCACACTGAATTAGGATCAATCTATGTGACCAACAGCATACAGCAAGAAGAGATGGTATGTGACTCCCCTGGTTAGGTCAGAAAAGGCAGCATAGCTTGCACCATATTCTCTTGGACTTGGAATGTTATAAGGGAAAATTACCTCATTTAATCAAATGTAACTCAGCACTTCCAAAGATTTGCCTGAGAATGTGAAATTGCAGGTTGGGAGAGAGAAATGACTTCTTAGCCACCACTCAGAATTTTGTTTTCTCTTCTGTTCCTCATGTTGATTGTCACTGCCACCCCCATACTGAGCCCTAAAGGGTCCTTCTCCCATCTAACATTCTGATATAAAAACAGGGAAACCTCTTCCTTTGATTGGTCTACCATATTGAAGGCAGAATGAAATTTTATTTATTTATTTTTGAGACAGAATCTTACTCTGTCACTCAGGCTGCAATGCGGTGATGCGAGCAAAGCTTGCAACCTAAACTCCTAGACTCATGTGATCCTTCTGCCTCAGCCTCCTCGGTAGCTGGGACTACAGATACACACCATCACACCTAGCTAACTTATTATTATTTTTTGTAGAGATGGGGTCTCAAACTATGTGATACTCCTGCCTAGGCTGGTCTCAAACTTCTCGGCTCAGGTGATCCTCCCACTTTGGCCTCCCAAAGTGCTGGGATTACAGATTTGAGCCCCTGCACTCAGCCAAGGACAAAATAATTTTTAAAAAACAACAGTTTCCTCTATATTGAAAAACACAAACGGAGAAATAACACAGAGAAAAGACATATAAAAACATTAGGCCTAAAAAAAAAAATTAGGCCTAATATACATATTATATAATTCTATTTATATTTAGTATATAAATATATGTATATGTATATACATGCACAGAAAAAGGTCTGGAAGCTTAAAGGCTAAATTTTCATTTATGGTTATCTGTGGAAAAGTAGAGGTAGGGGATGGCTGGGTAAGTGTGAAGGGTTAAGTGTGGAATGGGAAGAGAAACGGAGAGGAAGGAGAACTTGGATTTTAAAAAGTTTATTTTAAATTACTTGAAAATTGATGAGACTGTATTAATGAATCACTTGCATAATGAAAAAATAAAATATAAAATAACATTAAAAAACCAAAGCAATAGCAATCCAGTTACAACAAAGAGATCTACTATTCCATGACAGTTAGCTTGCTACTAGGACTACTGGCCACACTAGACTTTTCCTTCTGACCTCTGTTCTTTAGAATGCTTTGCTATAAACCAGGGGTGTCCAATCTTTTGGCTTCTCAGGGCCACACTGGAAGAATTATTATCTTGGGCCACACATTAAATACACTGACACTAATGATAACTGATGAGCTAAAAAAAAAAAAAAAAAAAAAATCACAAAAAAATATTTTAAGAAAGTTTACAAATTTGTGTTGGGCTGCATTCAAAGCCATTCAGGACCGCATGCAGACTGCAGGCCCCTGGGTTGGACAAGCTTGCTGTAAAATTTCTGAGCCCCTTACTCGGCCAGCCTCCGTAAGGGATGTGTCTAAGAACCATAGCCAAAGAGCTGCCTGAGAGACATCAGGCTAGGCACCTTCCAGGCCAATACCAAGGAAGCAAATTGCTCTATCTGCTGTTGTTTCAGTCAGCTATCTCAACACTAATTCTGGGAACCAATTACTCTAAAACACTATTACTGCAAAACACAGCTTGAAACAACAATCCTTTATTCTTTGGGTTGCTGACCCCAAGATGGGAGTGGCTTCAGACCTGCTTTATACTTCTTGGACCAGCAAACTAGTCAGGTATGTTCTTTACATTGTGAAAAACAAGAGTGCCAGAGAGGGAAGGAGAAACGTGAAATACCTCTTGAGGCCAGTCTCAGAACTGTCACATTGTCACTTCTGCCTATCTTTCTTTGGCCAAAAGCAAATGGGATGATCTAGACCCAACATGAACAGGGTGGAGAAACACGCTATCTCTAATGAGAGGAACTACAAAGCCATATTTCAAAGGGCATGCATGTGTGGAGTGAAAAATTGGGAACAATAATGTTATCTACCACTGTTTTCCACCTGGGACTTTCCGGCTTACTGCCAATTGGCAATGGGAAAGACTTTCTTTTCAATGTGGCTGACAACAGAAATTATATGACTTGGCAGGTGATATCTGTTCATAAGAAAAGGAAGCAGGCTTTGTCTTTGCCTGCTCCTTAGTATGCTATGTTATGGACATGCAATATTATTATTAATTAATTCCTTACAAATATCAAAGTGGCAATGGTTCCCATAAGTGGTTATTTTACAAGAAATGAGATAAAGACTCCCTTAGAAAGGGTGCTATGTTTGCAGTGTTCTGTTTATTGTGTATTAAAGATTTGAATGTTACCAACATTTTATAAATTCTTTAGTTCAAAAGGGTGTCAATAGTCTCATAATTTAGAACTCAGGAATCCACGCAACTTTGTCAGGAGTTAAGAAGATCTTTGATTAGCCATTATGCGCTTCAGGTTTCCCCTGTGTTCAAGGGTAAAAGTTTCTTAAGAATAGGAGCTCCTCAGAGTTTTTTGTTGTTGTTGTTTTTTGAGGCGAGTCTGTCTCCCAGGCTGGAGCGCAGTGTCGCAATCTCGGCTCATTGCAACCTCTGCCTCCTGGGTTCAAGCGATTTTCCTGTCTCTCGAATAGCTGGGACTACAGGCATATGCCACCACACCAGGCGAATTTTTGCATTTTTAGTAGAGACGGGGTTTCACGCTGTTAGCCAGGGTGGTCTTGAACTCCTGACCTCAGGCAATTCCCCACTCAACCACCCTCACTCCCCTCCTCGGCCTTCCAAAGTGCTGGGATTTACAGGCGTGAGCCACCGCGCCCCGCCCAGAGTTGCTTTTCAAGATAGGAAAGGAAGACTCGCTCCCGAGAAAATAGAGGCAACAACAGTATTAAGAAAAGAAAGAGATCATTACATTATTAGGCTCTTCAGGGATTTAAATCTGGAGCCTCTTGCAGCTTTCTGACATTTGAGCGTTATTCTAGGATGATTTCCACAGTTCCTACGTCCCTTTCAAGCTATCTCTTATATTCCTCGGGGTTTTTTCTTTGCTCAAGACCGACTGTGAAGCCGTAAAAAAGAGTAACGCTGGAGCCAAGAAATGAGCTGGCGAATACCGCGCCAGGTGCCAGGTCCATCGCGGCGAGACTGCAGGAGCCCGAGAGGGGAGCGAAATCAGCCCCGCGGGCACCGGGACAGGCAGTGCTCTTTGTTAAAGAAACAAATACAAGAAAACGCCGCGGCTGGGAATGGTGGTGGCGAAAGAATAGACTGAGGCGACCGTATGCATAACTGTGCCTAAGAAAGCCCATTAAAGAGACACTTCAACGCAGGGCAACCCAGGGCACCATGTCATTGGCTTTTGTGCACTTGAAGGCGCGTGAGAGTGCCCTGCTCCAAGGCTCCCCTTTGTGTGAAAGTGTGGAAACCAGAAGCGTGCAGTTACTGCTGGCTTTTCGTTTTCGAATTCGTAGGCGCTTGGACCAAAATATCCTCTCACCAAAACACTCTCTCATTCTCACACCAACAACACTGAGACTTGAGTTACTTCTCCGTTGCTGACCGAACGAGGAGCGACAAAGGTTTGGTGCGGATGCCCGTCCGCCGCGCTCCGCAGCTGCGCGCTGGGCCCAGCCGCCCGACCGCCAGCAAACGCCGGCACCAACCGCCGCGCCTCCGGGCTGTTGGGCGGGTGGTAATTTCTGGGAATGGGGCGGGGTCGCGGGTGTACTACTCCCGGCGACTGCGAGCGGAGGAGGAGCGGGCGGCGCCGAGGGGCGCGAGGCTGGCGGGGCGGTGCGCCACGTGCGTCACCGGCCGGGGCGGGGCGGGCGTCGCGCTCCTGCCGCCCGCACCCCCACCTTTCACTCAGCCGAGGCTGAGGAGTGGGGACAGGAAGGACCGGGCTAGGAGTTTTTGCAAAACCTCGCCCCCTCGTAACTGTCAGACTGCCCGAGTGTGGGGCCGTCTCCGGAGAAGGGTGGGAGTCCTGAGTTGGGGATGCCGTGACTGCAGGGGCCCGCGGGGGCCCTGGGGGGCGAGGGTGTGTGTGTGTGTGTGTGCGGTCCCGGCCGGCTGGGGGAAGCGGGCTGGCACTGCAGGTGCACGCACGGCCCCGTCGTCCTCCCACGCCTGCCCCGTGCTGCGGAGTCCCCTGCTCCAATCCCGGCTGGAGTGGAGAGCGGGATGGGGGAGCCCCGGGATGGGGAGCCCCGGGCAGGGAACCGGACAAGTGACTAGCGTCTTTACCTGGGAAGGCGGGTTTGGGAGAAGTTGGGCGAGGAGAGGAGGGCGGGATTCAAGAGAGCAAAAGAGGCAGTTCGGTGGGCTGGTGGGGGCCCGAGGGCTGCGGGGCCCCGCGGGGTATAAATAGCCGGCCCGCGTTTGACAGGCGCTGCGGTGACTGGCGTTGCCGCTCCGGCCCCCCCGTCGCGTGGGGAGGGGAGGAGCGCTCAGATCAGGCGGGGAGGGGGAGGCGGACTCCAGTGTCCTGGTGGTGGCGGCTGGAGGCCGAGAGGGAGGAGCCGAGGCGGGGGGTGGAGGGAGGGGGCCGGGAGCGGGGCGGGGGCCACCATTGCTCCCCGCGCCGAGCTCTGTGTCGCCTCCGTAGCCTTGGCTGTTGGGGGTCGGTGGGACGGCGCGGGCGGGGGGACGCTGCGCGGGGAGGCGCGCCTCTGTTTTGTCTCCTCCTCTGCCTGTGGAGCGGCTTTGGCGGCTGGGGAGGCCCCGGTTCCCTCTGGACGCCCGGCCAACCGCAGCGGCGGCGGCGGCTAGTCCGCGGCCCTGCTGAGAGGGAAAGGGACGCCGCGGTCTTCCTGGGCGACGCAGAGAGCAGGTAAAAGCGCGGGCAGCCGAGGCTGGTGAGAGGGAGCGCTGAGGGCGCGGCGATAAAGCCTAGCTGTCCCGGGTGCCGCCGCCTCCTTCCGCGCCCCCGCCCCGCGCTGGTGTTGTTTGCTTCGGGGTTTGCGGAGGGGTTTTCCGGCGGCTGTGGTGGTGACACCGGCCGGGCGCTGGGGGAAGGGGACTGAGTGTCCCCGGGCAACGGTCGCGGAGCGGGACTTGGAGAAAGGCGAAGGCGCGCGGCGCGCCTGCTCGCGGGGAGCGCCGGGCGCGGGGCAGGGCTGAGGGAAGAGGTTATGGACCCCGGCGGGGGGGATGGGCCGAGCGCAGCTGGTCTCGACGTGTTTACATCTCTGCGCGAGTCACCTCTTCCGAGAAGCGGACTGAACTGACCCGCCTCATCCCGCGGGGAGGCCAGGGCGGGGGTCCGGCTCCGGAGGAAGCGCGTCCTGGGAGGGTCTGTGTCTGTGTAGGGCGGGAGTCTGCGGCCGGCGCCCGGGCTGAGCGGCGAGCTCGGGGCGGGACCAGGGAGGCTCCGGCAGCTCCGGGTGGCGGGGTGGGGGCTGGACACCAGTTTCCTTCCCTGTCTTGCGGCTGCTTACCTTTCCTTCCCGGCGCTGCTCGCTTGCACGACAGGTTGTACTCGCCGTTCTTTTATTCTCCCTCTCCTCGCCGGCACCCTGCTGCCACCTCCCCCTATTCCCAGGGGATAGGGAGGTTTGGCTCGGATCGGAATCTGTTTCTTAAACAAAACAAAAACGGGCTTGCAACACGCACGTCCAGTGACCGCCTTCTGTATCCTGGCGAAGCTGGCCCTCAGGGACCGCGAGACGGGATGGTCTAGTGGCTCCGAAGGAGGACGGGGAAGGCTCTGCCGGGGCTGTATGCTGTCTGTACCCCAGCAGCTTTGTGAGCAGGGCAGCCGAACCTTCTCTCTTGCTCCGTTTGGGCATTTTAATTCTATGTTAATAAAGGACCGAAAAAATATTCCATAACACCAAGAATAATCCAGATCGCAGTTTCTAATCTTTTTCTCTGCCAGCATCCTGGATGGGCTCTTTCTAGGAGCCAGATTCGCTGCAGAATAGCCTGTAAGTTCTAGTACTTAATTAAATGAGGAAGAGGGGGACATGTCATTGTAAAACTATTAAAAATTCCCCACTTTCTTATGTTCATGAACATTTACTTCAGCTTACTGGTTTAAGTTTTAATCCGGTGATGAGAGAACAGTAATCGTGTGTTTGATAATCAGATTTACTTTCCTTTTTATCTGTGATTCTCTATCCGGAAGTAAATTATGCACTTTATTTAGTGCCAGAATCACGAAAGTGTGTATGCTTTACTAAGAAAGGATTGGATATTTGTGTTTCAGAGTTTCTTCAAAAGGTAGAATGACTTATATAAGACTGGAAACCATTAAATTACATTTAAGGAAACTTAAGAATAATAAAACTTTATAGAGCATAACAGTTTACAGAGTACATTCATGTAAATATTATTGAGACAATATCTAGTAAACACATGAAATAGAAAATTGAAATGTCCTGGACATTTGGAATTTGAATATTTATGTTAACCTATTTTTTTTTTTTTTTTTGAGACGGAGTTTCGCTCTTGTTACCCAGGCTGGAGTGCAATGGCGCGATCTCAGCTGACCGCAACCTCCGCCTCCTGGGTTCAGGCAATTCTCCTGCCTCAGCCTCCTGAGTAGCTGGGATTACAGGCACGCGCCACCATGCCCAGCTAATTTTTTGTATTTTTAGTAGAGACGGGGTTTCACCATGTTGACCAGGATGGTCTCGATCTCTTGACCTCGTGATCCACCCGCCTCGGCCTCCCAAAGTGCTGGGATTACAGGCTTGAGCCACCGCGCCCGGCTATGTTAACCTATTTTTAAGTTAATGATTTAACTCATTGGATTAATCATTGCCCCTCATTTCAGACATAAATACTCATTTACAAAATAATCAGCTTGAGTATGATGGGAAAGAATTTGTAACTTTGGGATTTTTCTTTCTTTCTTTTTTTTTTTGTTCTCTTTTATTCTGCACTTATTGGTAAGATATTTGCAAACTTTGGGATTTTTCTATCCTAAGTAAACAGGATAGAAAATAGTATCCGTGGCCTGTAAGGTCTGCTAATGTTAATGGCTTTACTTGCTCATGTTGTATACCATTTTTGGAGGGGGTGACAGCTTCACTGTGATATAATTTACATACTGTTCAGTTCGGTTTGAAGTGTACAATTTGGCGGGTTTATTAATTTATTTTAAAAATGACTCCATTTTGCAGATGACCAACTCTGTTTTTTAGTACAGTTGTCCATCGGTATCTGTTGGGGAATGGTTCTAGAGCCTTCCTCAGATACCAGAATCTATAGATGTTCAGGTCTCTAAAATAAAATGGCATAGTTGCTGGGTGCAGTGGCTTGTGCCTGTAATCCCAGTTACTCAGGAGGCTGAGGTGGGTGGATCTCTTGAGGCTAGAGTTTAGACACCAGCCTGGGTGACAGAGCAAAATCCAGTCTCTTAGGAAAAATGAAGAAATAAAAATCCTGTAGTATTTGCATATAAACTATGTTTATCCTCTTGTATGCTTTGAATCATCTCCAGATTACTTATACCACCTAATGCAATGTGCATGCTATGTAAATCATACTTGTATTGTTTAGGGAATAATGACCAGGAAAAAAGTTTGTAGATATTCATTTACAGACATAATATTTTTTTGAGTAGGTTCTGCACCTCATTGGTTGAATCCATGAATTCAAAAGTCATGGATATGGAGGGCCAACTGTATATTCAAAGTTGTGCACACATCACTATAATCAATTTTAGAGCATTTTAATCATCCCCCAAAAGAGCCCTATATCCTTTAGCAGTCACTCTTCATTTTCCCTCAGCACTCCCAGTCCTATGAAATCACTGATTTACTTTCTGTCTTTATAGATTTGACTATTCCAGACATTTTATGTATGTGAAACCGTGTATGTGGTCTTTTGTGACTAGCTTCTTTCACTTAGTATAGTGCTTTCAAAGTATGTCGTTGTTGTAATATGTGTCAGTACTTCATTTCTTTATTTTTTTTAAAATTTAATCTATTTTATTTATTTATAGAGATGGGATTTCACCATGTTGCCCAGACTAGTCTCAAACTCCTGGGCTCAAGCAATCCTCCTGCTTTGGCCTCCCAAAGTGCTGGGATTCCAGACCTGAGCCACTGCACCCGATCCTTTTTAATTAAAAAAATTTTTTCATAGTCACTTCTTTTTATTGCTGAGTAATATTCTGTTTATTGGCTATATTGCATTTTATTTATCTGTGCATCAGTTGATGGACATTTAAGTTCCCGTGTTTTTGACTTCTATAATGCTGCTAGGAAAGTTTCTGTTTTGTGTTGACATGTCATTTCTTTGGGTATGTACACTTTTTAAGAAATTAGCTTTTGGCTGGGCGCAGTGGCTCACCCCTGCAATCCCAGCCCTTTGGGAGGCCGAGGCGGTCAGATCACCTGAAGTCAGAAGTTTGAGACCACCAGCCTGGCCAACATGGTGAAACCCATGTCTACTAAAAATACAAAAAATTGCCGTGTGTGGTGGTGGGCACCTGTAATCCCAGCTACTTGGGAGGTTGAGGCAGGAGAATTGCTTAAATCCAGGAGGCAGAGGTTGCAGTGAGCTATTTTGCCACTGGACTCCAGCCTGGGTGACAGCAAGACTCCATCTCAAAAAGAAAAAAAAGAAAAAGAAATTAGCTTTTGACTTAACTGATACCAAAAAATTTGAGTATATAATTCAATAATTTTTAATAACTATATCGAGTTATGAAACTGTCACCTTGAACTAGTTTTAGAACATTTCCATTGCCTCCAAAATTCTCTTAGCTTGTTTGCAGATAACCTTTATTCCCAGCTTCAGCCTCAGGCAATCACTGATTTGCTATTGTCTTCATATGTTTGCTTTTTCTGGATATTTTGTATAAATGGAGTCATACAATGTGTAGTCTTTGTATCTGGCTTCTTTCACTTAACATAATGTTTTTGGGAATCATTCATATTGTAGTGCATATCAGTTTTTTGTTCCTTTATATTTTAGAACAGTATTTCTTTGTATGGGTGTACGATAATCCCCTCCGCCCTTATCTGTGCAGGATACATTCCAAGACCCCCAGTGGATGTCTGAAATCTCAGATAGTATTGAACACCGTATTTTTTTCTTTTTCTTTTTTTATTTTATTTTTTAGAAAGTCTAAGGCCAAGGGTTACAGTGGCCTGAACTAGCTGAACACTATATTTTTTTCTATATGTGCATACCTATGGTAAAGTTTAATTTGTTAAACAGGTGTAATAAGAGATTAAAAACAATAATAGAATAGTTAAAACAATATGCAAATATCTTACCAGTAAGTACAGAGTAGTTAAAACAAAACAAAACAATATGCTATTCAGTTTTGTGGATAGAGGATTTCTTCTTTGCAATAGACAGTAGAAAACTCATCATAAAATTTTTTTTTTTTTTGCTAGTAGAAAGCTTTTTTTTTGCTAGTAGATATTAGCAAACTCAGCATAAAGTTTTTTTATTTCCTTATTAAATTGAGAACTTCCACTTTTTCACTTGAAGTATTTTGCAGCTTCTCTTTGGCATATCCAAATTGTCATCCTCATTCATCTTGAGCTTTTGAGCCATTATTAAGTAAAATAAGGGTTACTTGAATACCAGCACTATGGTACCAGTTGATGTGATAACTGAGATGGCTACTAAATGACTGACGAGCGGGTAGTGTAGACAGTGAGAATACGGTGGATAAAGGGATGATTCATCTCTGAGGCAGAGTGGCATGGTGTGAGGTTTCATCATGCTACTCAGAATGGCACTCATTTTAAAACATAGATTGTTTCTTCTCAAATTTTCCATTTAACATTTTCAGACCATGTTTGACTGTGGTAACTGAAACTGGAAAGTAAAGGTGTAGGTAAGGGGGGATTACTGTAACACACTTTAACTGTTGACCAGTATATAGGTGTTTTGATTATTTTCAGTTTTTGACTATTTTGAATAATACTCCTTAAACATTTGAGTACAAGTCTTTATGCAGGCATATGGTTTTGTTTCTCTTGGTTAGATATCTAGGAGTAGAATTACAGCATCTTATGTTTAGCTTTTTAGGACACTGCCAAGCTGTTTCCCAAAGTGGCCGTAACATGTTATATTCCTAACAGCAATGTATGAGAGTTCCAGTTTTCTTCACATCTTTGCCAACACTTATTATTGTTTGTCTTTTTTTATTATACCTGTTCTAATGGATATGAATTTGTTTGTTTGTTTGTTTTTGAGTCACACTGTCAACCAGGCTGGAGTACAGTGGTGCAATTTCAGCTCACTGCAACCTCTGCCTCCTAGGTTCAAGTAATTCTCATGCCTCAGCCTTCCGAGTAGCTGGGATTACAGGTGTGTATAACCCTGTCCAGCTGAGTTTTTGTATTTTTAGTAGAGATGGGGTTTCACCATGTTGCCCAGGCTGGTCTCCAACTCCTGAGCTCAGTTAGTCCTCCTGCCTTGGCCTCCCAAAGTGCTAGGATTACAGGCATGAGCCACCGCGCCTGGCCTGAATTTGTTAATTCATTGTGTTTTTTTTTCTTCTTTATTTTTCTCTGTATGCTGTTTAGTGGAGTCATTGTGATTTTAATTTTAATTTTCCTTATGACTCATAGTGTTGCATCTTTTCATAGATCTTTTTTTCTTAACCCATTTATGCCTGAAGTTGCACATTTTTTGTGTGTGACAAATCAGACCTTGGTGTGATGACCTTTAGCAGTAGGATATTAATAACTTCCACAAGCTTAGCATTCCAATAATGGAACACTTGGCATTAATGGGCTAAAGACAGGGTCTTGCTCTGTTGCCCAGGCTGGAGTGCGGTGGTGTGACCAAAGCTCACCGTAGCCTTGACCTCACTGGCTCAAGCAGTCCCCCTACCTCAGCCTCCTGAGTAGCTGGGAATGGGGAATGCAGGTGCATACCTGCATTTTTTATTTTTACATTTTGTAGAGATGGGGGTCTCACTGAAGAGTTGTCCAGGCTACTCTTGAACTCCAGGGCTCAACTGATCCTTCCCCATTGGCCTACCAAAGTGCTGGGATTAAAAGCCTGTGCCACTGTGTCTGACTCATCCTTTTTGATGACATAGCTATTCAGATCTTTTGCTCCTTTTAAAATTGGGTTGTTTGGGCTGGGTGTGGTGGCTCATGCCTATAATCCCAGCACTTTGGGAGGCCAAGGTGGGTGGATCACCTGAGGTCAGGAGTTCGAGATCAGCCTGACCAATAATGGAGAAACCCCATGTCTACTAAAAATATAAAAATAAGCTGGGCGTGGTGGCACATGCCTGTAATTCCAGCTACTCAAGAGGCTCCGGCAGGAGAATCACTTGAACCCCTGAGGTGGAAGTTGCAGTGAGCTGAGATTGCCCCCGTGCACTCCAGCCTGGGCAACAGAGCAAGGCTTTGTCTCTAAAAAAATAAAATAACGTACAATAGAATAGGATGAAATAGAATAGAATAACAAGGCTTTGTTTCAAAAAAATAAAATAACATAGAATAGAACAGAATAGAATAAAGTAGTTGTTTGATTTATTGGGTTGTAAGAGGTTTTTAAAAAATATATATATTCTGAACCGAAATTTCAATAGAATATATATGTAAAAATGCATAGAGACGTTCTTTGCGGAGAGTCTCCACGGTTTCGTGCCTCAGCAGTGCTCAGACGGAACCCAGCGCTTGTCTCCTACTTCAGCCGGCCGCCCACAGCCAGCCTTCTGTCACCTCTACACCTCGTTCTCTAACCGCCCCAAGGCCCCCGCCGACACTCCAGCGCTGCGCAGCCGCCGCCGCCGCAGGCTGTCCTTAGCCGCTGCTGCGAAGACCACATCTCCTTCGCAGGTGCGCCAGAACTACCACCAGGATTCAGAGGCCGCCATCAACCACCAGATCAACCTGGAGCTCTACGCCTCCTATGCTTACCTGTCCTCCATGTCTTACTACTTTGACCGCGATGATGTGGCTTTGAAGAACTTTGCCAAGTACTTTCTTCACCAATCTCATGAGGAGAGGGAACATGCCGAGACACTGATGAAGCTGTAGAACCAACGAGGTGGCCGCATCTTCCCTCAGGATAACAAGAAAACAGCATGATGACTGGGAGAGCGGGCTGAATGCCATGGAATGTGCATTACATTTGGAAAAAAATGTGAATCAGTTACTACTAGAACTGCACAAACTGGCCACTGACAAAAATGACCCCCATTTGTGTGACTTCATTGAGACACATTACCTGAATGAGCAGGTGAAATCCATCAAAGAATTGGGTGACCACGTGACCAACTTGTGCAAGATGGGAGCGCCCCAATCCTGCTTGGCAGAATATCTCTTTGACAAGCACACTTTGGGAGACGGTGATAATGAAAGCTAAGCCTTAGGCTAATTTCCCCATAGCCACGGGGTGACTTCCCTGGTCACCAAGGCAGTGCATGCATATTGGGGTTTTCTTTACTTTTTTTGTAAGTTGTACCAAAACATCCACTTAAGTTCTTTGTACCATTCCTTCAAATAAAGAAATTTGGTACCAAAAAAAAAAAAATGTATAAATATATATAATAAAAAAAGCTTTTTCACGAATTCAAAAAAAATGTATTCTGGATGTAAGTTCTTTATTATAATATATCATCTGTAAATATTTCTTTACAGTCTGTTGATGGTCGTCTTATTTCTTAAAAAACTGGTGATTGGGATCTTTTAAAGAGCATTAGTTAATTTTTTTTTTTTTTTTTTTGAGACGGAGTTTCGCTCTTGTTACCCAGGCTGGAGTGCAATGGCACGATCTCGGCTCACCGCAACCTCCGCCTCCTGGGTTCAGGCAATTCTCCTGCCTCAGCCTCCTGAGTAGCTGGGATTACAGGCACGCGCCACCATGCCCAGCTGATTTTTTGAATTTTTAGTAGAGACAGGGTTTCACCATGTTGACCAGGATGGTCTCGATCTCTTGACCTCGTGATCCACCCGCCTCGGCCTCCCAAAGTGCTGGGATTACAGGCTTGAGCCACTGCGCCTGGCCTAATTTTTTTTTTAAAGACTAGTCAATGAAGTAGTGAGAAGGGGGGACAATTTTGATGAAGTGTAGTTTCTGAATTTTTTCTTTTATAAATTATGCTTTTGTTATCTTATTGAAGAACTTTCTACCTAATCCAAGATCTTGAGATTTTTCAGTTTTCTAGAAGTTTTATAGTTTTAGCTCTAACAGATTTTATCATCTATTTTGAATTAATTTCTGTGTATGGTGAGAAATAAGGTTCTAAATTCATCTTTTATATACAGATTGTTCTGTCAACCTAAATAAAAGACAAGAAAGTCCCTCTGGGGGGAAAAAAAAATTCAGGATTGGGCATTATAATGGGAATATGCATACCATAGTAAACTATGTGCATATTCAGGGATATAAAGGAAGACATACATTTTTAAAGGGAAAGTGAGGAGGATTACATCATTGTTTTAAATCAGTTATCTTTGGCTATAGAGATCTGTGACAAGAGTGGTGCCAGTCTGAGGTTGGACATGAAGTTACTTGGCAGATGTCCTTGCAGAAGTATTTTTTTTTTTTTTTATTTGAGACTGAGTTTCGCTCCTTACCCAGGCTGGAGTGCAATGGTGCAATCTCAGCTCACTGCAACCTCTGCCTCCTGGGTTCAGGCAATTCTCCTGCCTCAGCGTCCTGAGTAGCTGGGATTACAGGCACATGCCATCATGCCCAGCTAATTTTTTGTATTTTTAGTAGAGACGGGGTTTCACCATGTTGACGAGGATGGTCTCGATCTCTTGACCTCGTGATCCACCCACTTTGGCCTCCCAAAGTGCTGGGATTATAGACGTGAGCCACTGCGCCCGGCCCAGAAGTATTTTTTTTGTCTAAGGTTGTGATTGCCTTTGTGCAAGATTGTGGCCTTTATTTATTTATTTTTTTGAGATGGAGTTTCGCCACTGTTACCCAGGCTGGAATGCAATGGCACAATCTTGGCTCACCGCAACTTCTGCCTCCTGGGTTCAGGTAATTCTCCTGCCTCAGCCTCCTGAGAAGCTGGGATTGCAGATGTGCGCCACTGTGCCCGGCTAATTTTTTGTATTTTTAGTAGAGACGGGGTTTCACCATGTTGACCTGGATGGTCTCGATTTCTTGACCTCGTGATCCACCCGCCTTGGCCTCCCAAAGTGCTGGGACTACAGGCTTGAGGTATTTTTTTTTGTTTCTGTTTTTGTTTTTTTTGAGATGGAGTCTTACTCTGTTGCCAGGTTGGAGTACAGTGGGGCGATCTCAGTTTACGGCAACCTCCGCCTCCCGGGTTCAAGCAATTCTCCTGCCTCAGCCTCCTACAGAGCTGGGATTACAGGCCTCCACCACCAGGCCCGGCTAATTTTTTTATTTTCAGTAGAAATGGGGTTTCACCATGTTGGCCAGGCTGCTCTCGAACTCCTGACCTCAAGTGGTCTGCCTGCCTTGGCCTTTGAAAGTGCTGGGATTACAGGCATGAGCCACAGGCAATAGTTGTATGTGTTTTTTTAAATCAGGTATTCATGCATGAGAAACCTCCTTTCATGGCCTTCCCAGGCTCCATATGTCAGGGCTTTTAGCACAAATGACTTAATTTTAATTCTAACAACTTTCACTTCTTCCCCTTTTGATCAACATTTTTCTTTAGGCCCAGGCATGGTGCCTCATGCCTGTAATCCTAGCACTTTGGGAAGCAGAGACTGGAGGATTGCTTGAGCCCAGGAGTTTGAGACCCGCCTGGGCAACATGGCAAGACCCTGTCTTTAAAAAGCAAAACAAAGAGTTTTCTTTGAAAGCATCACTGACCAGTCATCTTGTAGTTAGGTTTTACTTATCTTTACGTGCCAGAATGGATCTGTTCTGGGTTGTTGGTATGGTCCCATGTTGGAGGGAATGCTTGTCAAACTAGGAGTCAGTGTCAGGACCCTTTCAGTCATGTTTGAGCAACAAGAAAAGTTTGGAGGGAGTGATTCTCAGGCTAAGTCTGCTGGGAATCCATTATTAAGATGAGTTTGTATCTGTTCCCCAAATGTTGGCTATCATCTCAAGGTGTAGGGCCAGCCCAGCATAATTCTGCTGGGAGTAGTACTTCTATAGAAATATAACAAATAACATGTACAAAGTTTAAAAAGAAAATACTAAGTAAGATTAATAGTAATATGGTAATACCAGTTTACATAATGGTTTTCAGCCATGAAGTTAGACGTAAAGGCAATCAGTTGAATAAACCAAGTGACCATGGAATACTAGATCAGACCTGTTGTAACCACGTGTTCTGTTTTCTTATTTTGTATATGAGTCTCAACTTTCTCAAAGGAATTTATCCAGGTAAGCCGGGCGTGGTGGCTCACTCATAATCCCAGCACTTCAGGAGGCTGAGGCAGGCAGATCACCTGAGGTCAGGAGTTAAGAGACCAGCCTGACCAATATGGTGAAACCCTGTCTTTAAAAAAAAAAGGAATTTATCTAGGTACATCATGTAGTATTAGTAATAGCACAGACATTACTTAACCAATAGCTAATGCAGAGCAATTTTATCATTTGGTATTCCATAACTGGGTTGAATTAAAGCAGAGTGAATAATTTTATTAAGGATGTTGTCAGAGTCCACCCACTAGGTGGACTGAAGGATCTCTTAGGTTCTTTCAAGTTACCAGTGGAAGCTACTGATTATGAAATTTCAATTACAACATTACCTTGCCAAGTGAAAAAGTTACGTGTTAAGAGGGGTAAGAGTCTCCTCTTGTTCAGTTGTCTTGGGAAAAGCTGTCTACAGTGTGGAACCCTCTACTTCTCATCCTGTCTTGCAGTTTGAATGTCTCTGGTTAAAGGCATTGGGCAGTTTGGTGAACTTTTCTGTGTGGCTCAGATATCGAGGACCCGACTTACCCCTTAAAATTCATCAAGTTTCATCTTATAGGGCTTCAGGAGCAGAGACATTTCTGTTTTAATAATTCTATGGAAGAAAGTTGGATTGAAGGAACCTAGAAGAATTTAGAATCTAGGCCTAGAAGAATTTAGAATCTCAAATACAATATACAGGACTATAGTCTAATAACAGATACATACAGGTAGCTTTTCTTTCTTTTTTTTTTTTTTAAGACAGTCTCCCTCTGTCACCAGGCGCCAGGCTGGAGTGCAGTGGCGTGATCTTGGCTCACTGCAACCTCCACCTCCTGGGTTCAAGCAATTCTCCTGCCTCAGCTTCCCGAGTAGTGGGTACTACAGGTGCATACCACCATGCCCAGCTAATTTTTGTATTTTTAGTAGAGACGGGGTTTCACCATGTTGGCCAGAATGATCTCTATCTCTTGACCTTGTGATCCGCCTGCCTTGGTCTCCCAAAGTGCTGGGGTTACAGGCATGAGCCACTGTGCTGGCCACTGTGCAGGTAGCTTTTCTTCTCTTTTTTTTTAAAAAAAATTTTTTTTTTTTTTTTTAAGATGGGGTTTCACCATGTTGGTCAGGCTGGTCTTGAACTCCTGACCTCAGGTGTTCCGCCCGCCTTGGTCTCCAAAATGCTTGGATTACAGGCTTGAACCACTATGCCCGGTCTTTTAAAAATTTTTAAATAAATATATATGTATTTTTAAGCTTTTCTTTAGAAACATAACTTTTCTCTAGAAACATAACTTTTCTCTTTATAGTCATCCCTCTACCAAAGATAATCAGAATCAGATAAATGTATTTTTAAGCTTTTCTTTAGAAACATAACTTTTCTGTAGAAACATAACTTTTCTCTTTATAGTTATCCCTCTACCAAAGATAATCAGAATCAGATAAATTTTTTTACAAAATAGTTTTATCAGTGTTTTTGTCTGATCATTTACATAAGTGCAGCTGTTGGCCACAAAGAAATCTCAGATTTATAAACCTTTCAAGACCAGGAAGCCAAACCAAAGCAGGCATTAGATTTGGCCTACAACCTTAAGGTTCCTGGACTGGCCAAAAAATGACAGATTCTCTCGCTGTAAGGATGGGAACTCTTGAACCTAGACATTCCATGCAGATCCTTAAATATCATATTCCAGTCAAAGCTTTGGTAATATAACTAATGTTTCCAATTGTATCCTGCAATAAGGAGAACAGATTTTTATTGAATTTATGCAAACAACTATATTATCATAAAAATAAGACTCATGAACAGTTTCTGAATTTTGGAGGGGGAGGGATCAAGTAGGGAGAAAAAGTAAATGCTTCTGCTTTTGTTGAGAGAAGTATTATCTTACCAAATTACTGCAAATGATTGATACTTTAAGAGAATAAGTTTTCTTAGATCTGGAAAACAAAACATTAAAGAACCAACAATGTTTCATATAAAAGTCAAAAACATCATTGATTATTTAATCTCATATTTTGTGTTATTCTTAATTAGCAGTTTCTCCAGCTAATCAGTTTCTTCATTAGAATTGTGGAACATATTTAGTCCATTAAGCTTAAAGTTCTTAGAAATGTATATTTAAGAGTACAGGTCTTTTCTATGAATCTGATTGCAGATATTTTTAAAATTTATTTTTGAGATGGAGTTTCACTCTGTTGCCCAGGCTGGAGTGGAGTGACGTGATGTCAGCTCACTGTAACCTCCGCCTCCCAGGTTCAAGTGATTCTTGTGTTTCAGCCTTCCAAACAGCTGGGATTTACAGGTGCACGGCAGCACACTCAGCTACTTTTTGTATTTTTAGTATTTTTTTTCTTTCTCTCTTTTTCCTTTCTTTCTCTTTCTCCCTCTCTCTTTTTCCCTTCTTCCTTTTTTTTGATATAGAGACTCGCTCTGTCTCCACTACAATCACACCTCACTGCAGGCTCAGCTTCAGTGGCTCAAATGATTCTTCCACCTCAGCCTCCTGAGTAGTGGAGACTACAGGCACATGCCAGTGTGTCTGGCTAATTTTTGTATGTTTTTAGAAACAAGAGTTTCACCATGTTGCCCAGGCTAGTCTTGAACTCCTGGGCTCAAGTGATCTTACTGTTTCTGCCTCCCAAAGTGCTGGGATTACAGGCCTGAGCCACACACAAAATTTATTTAATAAATTAATCCTTCACAAACCTTCCACAACTTAATCAGACCTTCCAGAACATTCTTGGGCCTTTAGCTTTGCGTTATACTTTCTCTTACTTACATAACCAGTCATTTCCCTTTAGGATGCAGTTTACTTTCTTTTTTTCCTCATCATTTTGAAAAGTTATTCTCCTTTTAACCTTCCTTTCCAAAATTACATCCTTATAACATTCTTTACATTTACCTCTCTTGCTTACTGAGTTCTTTTTATCTTATTTCTTTCCTAAATATTACATTTAACAACCTTAAATAACCTCTGAATTTACACAGTGTTATTCTTTTTTCTCAGTGAATAATGAATTACTATGCTTTTCTCATAATTTCTCTCATCAAAGCCATATGATGTTTTTTGGTATACTTCATATACAGAATTATATACACTAGTTAGAATTTCTAACTTACGAACCTTGATTTTTAGTGAAAACCTAGGAAGTATGAAATTTTGGTCTATTATATCAGTATTTTATAGATGAGAATCATTGGCCAGATGCAGTGGCTCAAACCTGTAATCCCAGCACTTTGGGAGGCTGAGGTGGATGGATCGTGAGGTTAGGAGATTGAGATCATCCTGTCTAACACGGTGAAACCCCGCCTCTAAAAAGAAAAGAAAGAAATCCTTTTATAATTTTTATTTGTTATATTTTGGGTTAGGGTCTCTCACTATTGCTCAGCCTAGAGTGCAGGAGCATGATGATAGCGTATTATAACCTTGAACCTCTGGGGTCAAATGATCCTCCTGTCTTAGCCTCCAGAGTAGGTGGGATTACAGGAGCATGCTACCAGGTCTGGCTAATTAAAACATTTTTTTGTAGAGACAGGGTCTTGCCATGTTGCTCAGGCTGGTCTTGGACTCCTGACCTTAAGTGATCCTATTGCTCCAGCCTTCAAAAGTGCTGGGATAGCAGGTGTGAGCCACTATGCCTAGACTTTTAAATAATTATTACAAACATTCTCCAAAACATAATTTTATGTGTATTAATAGACCTAAATATATTCAGTCTTTCTATAAGATTCAAGAAGGCAAGCACAAACGTATTTATATTCAGCAATTAGTGTTTCAGAAATGATCTGGACATTTAATGAGTATCACTTAATTTAGCATAACTTTAAGATTTCAAATTTTGTGAAAAGTTCATTTATAATGTAAATTAAAAGCTAAAATTTACTGAGCTATCATGTTCTAAGAACTTTGCATGTTTTATAATATTTAATCCTGACAATAACTCTCTAACACAGATGATATTATTTCCATTTTATAGATGAGATAACTAAGGTTCGAAGAACTTAAGTAACTTGTCAAAGAAACCACAAATAGGATGTCAAATCTAGAACTTAAATGCTGATCCTTCTAACTCATAAACATTTAATTTCATTTATATTTACATTATATATATATACATATTTTTGAGACAGAGTCTTGCTCTGTTGCCCAGGCTGGAATGCAGTGGCACAATCTTGAGTGGCACAATCTTGACTCACTGCAGCCTCTACCTCCTGGGTTCAATTTTCCTGCCTCAGCCTCCTGAGTAACTGGGATTACAGGTGCCTGTTACCACACCCAGCGAATTTTCATATTTTTAGTAGAGATGGGTTTTCACCATGTTGGCCAGGCTGGTCTTGTTATTTTTTGACTTTTTAATGGCCGTGCTGACTGGTGTGAGAGGGTATTTCATGGTTTTTTTTTTTTTTTTTTTTTTTTTTTTGCAATGGGGTCTCATTCTTTCGCCCAGGTTGGAGTGCAGTGGAACAGTCATGTCATGGCTCACTGCAACCTGTGCCTCCCCAGCTCATGCCTCAGTCTCCCAAGTAGCTGCGACCGCAGATGTGTGCCACCACACTGGCTAATTTTTGTATGTTTTGTGGAGACAGGGTTTTTTCATGTTGTTGTCTAGGCTGGTCTCAAACTCCTGGGCTCCTGAGATCTGTTCACATCAGCCTCCCAAAGTGCTGGGATTACAGGTGTGAGCCACCTTGCCTGGCTTATCGTGGTTTTGACTTGTATTTCTATCCAGAGTATATTTACATGATACTTTCCTGTTCGATTTTCACCATCATAAAACAGGTGGAACAAGTCACTGTTGATTAGGTTATGTGTGAGAACCTGACTAGGTTCTTTGGTTGAAGATTTCTCAAAACGTCAAAACATGTCTGATAAGGAAAGTATCAAAATATCTTCAAAGTGCTGGGCACTGTGGCCCATGCCTATAATTCCAGCACTTTGGGAGGCTAAGATGGGAAGATTGCTTGAAGCCAGGAGTTTCAGACCAGCCTGGGCAACATAATGAGACCCCATCTCTGCAAAAAATGAAAAATCCTTAGTTGGGTATGGTGGCATGTGCCTATAGTCCTAGCTACTCAGGGGCCTGAGGCAGGAGGATTGCTTGAGCCCAGGAGGTTGAGGCTGCAGTGAGCTGTAATATGATGCCATTGGACTCCAGCCTGGGTAACAGAGTGAAACCCAGTTTCAAAAAAGAAAAAATTATACGGAATTTTGATGATGTCACAAATATCTAAGTTCATTTCTTACCTCTGTGTATGTATGAGGGAGGGAGATTAATATTTTAGTCAATGATCAGATACATAACAGTAGTTCTGTAAGATAATAATACCGGGCCGGGAGCGGTGGCTCACGCCTGTAATCCCAGCACTTTGGGAGGCTGAGGCGGGTGGCTCACGAGATCAAGAGATCAAGACCATCCTGGTTAACATGGTGAAACCCCGTCTCTACTAAAAATACAAAAAATTAGCTGGGCGTGGTGATGCATGCCTGTAATCCCAGCTTCTCAGGAAGCTTAGGCAGGAGAACTGCCTGAACCCAGGAGGTGGAGGTTGCCATGAGCCAAAGTCGCGCCATTGCACTCCATCCAGCCTGGGTAACAAGAGTGAAACTCCATCTCAAAAAAAAAAAAAAAAAAAGATTATAATACCTTAGTTTTACTGTACCTTTTCTGTGTTTAGATATGCAAATACTTTCCATTATGTTAAAATTATCTATAGTATTCAGCATAGTAACATGCTGTACAGGTTTGTAGACCGGTAGCAGTAAGCCATATCATATAGCCTAGGTGTGTAAGTAGGCTTACATCATCTATGTATGTGTAGGTACACTCTATAAGGTTTGCACAATGACAAAATCCTTAGGTTCAAAAGTGCATAAGGACCTAAGGATGCATTTCTCAGGAGGTATTCCTGCCATTAAGCAATGCATCACTGTATGTGTACACCACATAAAAATATATGTGTAAGATTAAGGCTGGGTATAGTGGCTCACGCCTGAAATTCCATCACTTTGGGAGGCTGAAGAGGTTGGATGATTTGAAGTCAGGAGTTCGAGACCAGCCCGGTCAATATGGTAAAACCCTTTCTCTACTAACAATACAAAAATTAGCCGGGCATGGTGGCATGTGCCTGTTATCCCAGCTACTTGGGAGGCTGAGGCAGGAGAATTGCTTGAACCTGGAAGGCAGAGGTTGCAGTGAGCTGAGATAGTACCACTGCACTCCAGCCTGGGTGATGGAGTGAGACTCTGTCTTAAAAAAAAAAAGTATATATATATGTGTGTGTGTGTGTGTGTATAAAATTAAGAACATGTATCTTAATCTTAATTGGATTAATCAGTGTCAAGGCCATGAATATTTAAGATATCATTAGTCATGGTATGAGACCATGTGTATACCACATAAGAATATATGTATAAGATTAATAACATCTTAACTGCTTAACTCAGTGTCAAGGCCATGAGTAAATAAGGATTTTAAGATTGTTAGTTATGGTATGAGACTCTTGAAAACTTATTTTTATGATTGGCAAGTTATATTGCTTAATTTTCCAGTTAATTTTTCAATCAATTTTTTCTTGCTAAATGAGCTGTAAAATCTCTTCCAGATTAAAGAGCTTTCCTGCAACTTTTCTTATCCTGTTAATATCTACCATCATTTTTAAACATCTGGATTAATTACTGATTTCTAAAGTAAGTCTCATGATATGAGTGCTTGTTGCCAAAATTACTTATCTTCAGTCCTGGCTTATGAGCCTAAATTGTTAAAAACTATATAGTCCAGGCCAGGCACAGTGGCTCACGCCTGTAATTCCAGCACTTTGGGAGGCCGAGGCAGGTGGATTGTCTGAGGTTGGGAGTTTGGGACCAGCCTGACCAGCATGGAGAAACCCTGTCTCTACAAAAAATACAAAAAAAGTAGGTGGGCATGGTGGCGCATGCCTGTAATCCCAGCTACTTTGGAGGCTGAGGCAGGAGAATTGCTTGAACCCGGGAGGTGAAGGTTGTGGTGAGCTGAGATCATGCCATTGCACTCCAGCCTGGGCAACAAGAGCAAAACTCTGTCTCAAGCAACAAAACAACAACAACAAATATATAGTCCTCAGACGTAGTTTTCCTCAAAAAACTTCTTGGTTTCCATGGTATAGGAGCAGCATCAGGGCTGTATCACATTGCCAACACTTCAGATGAGAATATAATACCAGACGTGGTGGTACACCCATACAGTCTCATTTTCAAAAAGGAATGCTTTCTTTAAACAATTTATTAGTTTACTTTCTATTTTTGTAAAATGCTGTGTTAATGTTTGTTTTAATAAATAAGAATGACATCTAAAATTTTCATTAGTTGTAATTAGATTATATACTTTTATCTTTATTATTATTATTGTTTGTAGAGACGCAGTCTCATTATTTGCCCAGTTGGTCTTGAACTTCTGGACCCAAGCGAATCTCTTGCCTTGACCTCCCCAAAGCGTTGGTCTTACAGGTATGATATACCATACTGGCCTTTTAAATTATTGTTTTCAGAGATGAGGTCTTGCTGTATTGCTCAGGCTGGAGCTGTTCTCAGGCATGATCTTACTACTGATGAGCATGTGAGTTTTGACCTGCTTTGTTTCTGACCTGAGTTCGTTCACCTCTTCTTAGGCAACCTGGTGATCCCCCTCTCCGGAGGTCACCATATTGATGGTGAACTTTGTGTGGATATATGATTGTTATAGTGGATTACAGCCCGGAACTCCTGGACTCAAGCAGTCCTGCTACCTCAGTATCTGTAGTAGCTGAGACTGCATGGGTGTGCCACCACGTCTGGTACTGTATCCTCACCTAAAGCTTTAGCAGTATGATACAGCTCTGATGCTGCCCCTATACCATGGGAACCAAGAAGTATCTGAGACAGGTCTCAATCAATTTAGAAAGTTTATTTTGCCAAGATTAAGGATGCACACCTGGGAGTTAGGTTTGTGGATTTCTCTCCAAAGATGATTTTGAGGGCTTCAATATTTAAAGGAGAAGAGGAAGAAATTTTTAAAAGGTATGGGTAAGAGGCAAGCAGTCACATTCTTTTGAGTCTTTGATCAACCTTTCACTGAATACACAATTTACTTGTGAGAAAGGAGTCTCACTTATGCCTTGTCTAGCTCCAAGGATCTGCATTTTTACATCACAGAGCCATTTGTCTCAGGTTTGCTGAGGGATGACTTAGAGCTCTGTCCTTTTTCCTACACTCATGAAGATAAGCTATCAAAATACATTATCAGGGTTACAATTTAACATAACCATTTTAGGGTAAAGATCTTGAGGCCCACAAGGAATTTCCTAGTGGGCAAATTGTGAGGGAAGTATGTGGCTTTTTTTTTTTTTTTTAATTGTTGTAGCTATCTTATTTAGGAATAAAATGGGAGGCAAGGTTTGCCTGACACAGTTCCCAGCTTAATTTTTCCTTTTGGCTTAGTGATTTGGGGGTCCTGAGATTTATTTTCCCTTTCACAACTTATATCTTAGGGTCTTATATTATTAAAAATATGATAACAGATTAAATGAAATTCATTTAATGCTTATAGTGTGCCAGGTTATGTAAAGAATGAAAAGAACTAGATATATTTACTTCTCGAGTTGTTCTATCTTATGAATGAGAAAATTTAAGTTAAAAGAGATTAAGTAACTACCCCAGCATTAAAGCCAAAACAAAAAATACTTATTGAGCACCTTTTGTGTTCTGAAGATACAGTGGCCAATAGGCTTTTAACTCTTAAATCATACTAACTCTTCAGTATTGTAACACAAAGAAAATGACTGAGGCAAGTCTGAATTTAGAAGTTTAATTTGCCAAGGTTGAGGATGCACCCAGGCAAAAGCAACACAGAATCACAGGAACAACTGTGACCTGTGCTTTTCCAAAGAGGTTTTTGAAGGCTTCAACATTTAAAGGGGGAAAAGGGGACAGTAGGGAAAGGGGAAAGAAAAAATAAAGAGGGAGAGTATGGTTGCATTCTTGTGATCGCACTAAATCCACTTGTTGCTTGTGAGAAGGAGGGGGTAGAGGGAAAGTCAACTGTGCATTCTTCTGGCACTCAGTGAATCTGCATTTTACGTAAGATATAGTAAACAGAAGAAGCAGTCAAATATGCCTTTGTCTCAGGTGAGTGGAGGGATGACTTCCAGTCCTGTCTTTGTCCTGAATCTGTGAATATAAGCTTTTCATTTATATTGTCAGGGTGAAATTAAATAGAATTCTGTTTTAGGGTAAAGATCTTGGGCCCAGAAGGAATTTCCTTGTGAGCAAATTGTGAAGGAGGCCCCCTGGGGAGGTATGTGGCCTTTTATCTTTGCAGCTCTCTATTTAGGAACAAAGTGGGAGGCAGTTGTGCATGACTCAGTTCCCAAGCTTAACTTTTCCTTTGCCATAGTGAGTTTGGAGGTCCCAAGACTTTTTTTCCTTTCCTTTCCTTTTTTTTTTTTGAGACAGTCTCCCTCTGTTACTCAGGCTGGAGTGCAGTGGCACAACCTCAGCTCACAGCAACCTCTGCCTCCAGGGCTCAAGCGATCTTCCCACCTCAGCCACCTGAGTAGATGGGACTACAGGCATGTGCCACTGTGCCTGGCTAATTTTTGTATTTTTAGTGGAGATGGGGTCTCCCTGGCCGTAATCCCAGCACTGTGGGAGGCTGAGGCTGGTGGATCATGAGGTCAGGAGTTCAAGACCAGCCTGACCAATGTGGTGAAACCTCGTTTTTACCAAAAATACAAAATTTAGCTGGGCGTGGTGGTGCGCACCTGTAGTCCCATCTACTCAGGAGGCTGAGGCAGAAGAATCACTTGAACCTGGGAGGTAGAGGTTGCAGTGAGCCAGGATCACGCCACTGCATTTCAGCCTGGGTGACTGAGTGAGATACCTTCTCAAAAAAAAAGAGATGGGGTCTCCCCATGTTGCCCAGGCTGGCCTGAAACTCCTGGGATCAGGCAATCTGCCTTTCTTGGACTCTGAAACTGCTGGCATTACAGGTGTGAGCCACGGTGCCCGGCCTTTTCATTTTATTATCCTTTCATAGTATACAGAGTACTGTCAAAGTAGTCTTTATGTAATAAAGGGGATAATTATGTCTATTTTACAGGGCTTTTGTAAGGATAGAAAGACAATGCATAAAACGGCTTGTTTCAGCAACTACAAAAATGTATGAGACTATTTTTATTGATGTTTTATATTTATATTAACATCAACTATATATATAATTCCTGTCAGACTTGATAATTTCAAAAGAGAAACAGGACAGTTAAAATGTGAATTAGAAGTACTTAAAGCATTGATTTCATTATTAAAATATTTAATTTCATCAATGAAATGACTAAGGGTAATGGAGCTTTTTTGGGGAGAATTCATTGATCCCGTAGGCAGGAACTATGAATTAAAATATACATAGGTGTAAATTACAAGGCTCTGCCTGGTGGCTCACACCTGTAATCTCAGCTCTTTGGGTGGCTGAGGCAGGAGAATTGGTTGGGCCCAGGAGTTCAAGACCAACCTGGGCAACATAAGGAGACCTTGTCTCTATAAAATAAAAAAAAATTAGCTGGGCATGGTAGTGCATATCTGTGGTCCCAGCTACTTGTGGGGGCTGAAGTGGAAGAATTGCTTGAGCCTGGGAGGTTAAAGCTGCAGTGAGTGATGACTGAGCCATTGTACTCCAGCCTGGGCAACAGACTGAGACTCCATCTCAAAAAAAAAAGGTATAGACTACAAGTTATAATTCATTGTCCTGATAATACTGTTAATATTTGAATACAGATGTCTCCTTGATTCTAATTTTGTACATTGTCCTTTTTAAAGTTAAGTTTACTGAGTTTGAATTTACATGTAGTAAAATTCACCCTTATATTTTCATGAGTGGCAAATTTATACCATTTTGCAGTCACCACCACAATGAAGATAATACAATATTTCTTTCACCCCTGAGAGTTTCCTTGTACCCTATTGAGATTAAATCCTTTGAACTGATCTATTTTCTTTTCCTGTAATTTTATCTTTTCTTGAATGTCATATAAAATAGAGTCACCCTTTCTCTTTCTTATCTGTTAGGTGTTTCAGAATTGGTGCAATAGCAAGTCAGATAACTGAGCCTCATGCTGATACAGCTTGGCATAAATTAGGGCTTGTATTAAGAATCAGTTAAATCAGAAAAAAGTACAACCTGTTGGAAAATTATAAAAAGAGAATTTGTCAGGCCGGGTGCGGTGGCTCAAGCCTGTAATCCCAGCACTTTGGGAGGTCGAGGCGGGTGGATCACAAGGTCAAGAGATCGAGACCATCCTGGTCAACATGGTGAAACCCCGTCTCTACTAAAAATACAAAAAATTAGCTGGGCGTGGTGGCGCGTGCCTGTAATCCCAGGTACTCGGGAGGCTGAGGCAGGAGAATTGCCTGAACCCAGGAGGCGGAAGTTGCACTCCAACCTGGGTAACAAGAGCGAACGTCTCAAAAAAAAAAAAAAGGAATTTGTCAAAGGGTTAGTAAATGGTATTAAATTTTCATGACAAACTTTCAAGAACCAATTCACATGATCAGTTTTCACATATTGGGTGGGAAATTAATAAAATCAGTA